CAGCACGTGAATGCGAGTTTGCCTTCAGCAGATTCTCTGTTTAGCGTAAAAGCTGACGTAACTCTCTTTGTTTCAGGAAGACAGTAAATTGAGACTATTTGTAGATGCCGAGATGCGATCTCAGGAGTGAATACTCAGTTTTAAGTCCTTTCTAAACAACAACTCCCCCCCCCTCACCGCCATCTTCCCCTTCACCATTCGCTTGGTTAAAACGAGCCATCGTTGGGGGATTGCTGCCCAAACCCAAGGAAGAGCCCCACTCTTGTTCTCCCTTTGGAAGGCTTCCCTTTGGCCTCCGCCAGAGCTCCCAGCAGGAGAGCAAGAGCCAGGCTCTTTAGGCGTGCGTTAGGTTGGGTTGCCAAGCTGAGAGCAGTATATACGTTGGCGGTGGAAACAGGCTGATGACGGCTTGATAATCGCTTATGCAAATCTCGGTGCAGTTCGTTAAAATGCGCAGGGTTTATTTGTTTTGCTTCCGTAATTAAAGCATGTAGACCTCGTGCCTGTAAGTATTGTGTACTCCTTGTATGACTCCTGTCTTCGCCGCTGCTTCAGAAATTCAGGCCTGGGCTGTCCTCCGCTAAATTGCGAAGGAGCGGGTCCTCCCTTCTCCACCGCTGCCCCTGAGTGTGCGGGAGGACTCCGCGGCCAGGGCCCTCCGGACAGCGTGTCGGTGAGGGGAGACGCCAACGGGAATTGTCCGTTGTTGCTACAAAACTCAAGCTCCGGGCTGCTTTGCAGCAAGAGGCGGCAGAGCACTTCTCTACGCTGCCCCGGGCGATTTTATTCATTTAAACATTGCCTGCATCGAACCGAGGAGAGTTGGGCGAGTCCCTGGCTTCGCTGCCGGCTCGAGAGGATCCGTAGGGAAAAGGTTGGGGAGGAGCCGGCCCGCTGAAGCAACCAGCCGGCATCACGGGAAGAAGAGGTGGATGCGGGGAGCCAGATGAGACGCACCTGAGTCCCGGTAACCGAGAAAGCCAGTGCGTGAAGGAATATGACGGAGGGGAGATAGCGTAGGACATGGTCAGGGAAAGCCTTCGGGGTCGGTTCAGGCTTTGAAATCGCCTCTTCCAAACACCTGTGGAGAGGTGAGACGCCGCTCCGTTGGCAGGGCAGCAGCTCCCAATGGGTTTCCCGTGGCGTGTACGGAGTAAAGTCGGCTTCAGAGCAGCGCCCAAAAAAGCTCCAACACCTTTTAATTACTGGTAACCAGCTAGCTGTTGCGCTGGAGGGACCGGTGCTGTCTGCCCGCGTTGGCCCATTCTAGGAAGAGTGGCGTTACGCCAAAAACATCACGCGCGGGCCGTGTGCGTGGTTGGGCGCAGCCGCGGCAGAGGCTCCCCCCTTCAGGGGCGGGTGGCCCGCTCCCCT